ATTCTACAGTGAGCAAGAGAAAAATGAAATAATTTTTAATTTACGGTGAGGCTGGAAGAAACTCTGTACTGGCAGCTCGACTCTATGCAGAGAGATATCCCGAAAAAAGTCATCCTTGCCGACAAACTTTTGACCACATTGTTCAGTTATTTATTTCAAAAGGCAGTGTTAAATCATTGAAAAGAGAACGATCGAAACCTGCTACTGGAGATGATAAACAAGTTTTAGTATTGGCTGCAGTAAATAGTGATTCAACTACAAGTTGTCAAAAAATTGCCCATTTTTCGGATATCTCAAAATCAAGTGTATATCGCATATTACAGTATCACAAATTTCATCCATATCACATTTCATTGTACCAGGAGCTTCATGGTAATGACTTTGATAATCGCCTTGCTTTTTGTCAATGGGCATTACAGCAATTGCGAGGGAATAGAAAATTTTTTCATGACGTTCTTTTTACTGATGAATCTACTTTTACTAATCATGAACAAGTGAATAGGCATTATTGGTGCACCGAAAACACAAAATGGCTTAGGCAAGTTGAACATCAACGTCCATGGAGCGTAAATGTATGGTGTGGTATCCTTGATCGTATTATTATTGGACCATTTTTTATTAATGGCACCTTGACTGGATGAATGTATGCGAAGTCAGTGAGGGTGCGAGTCAAGTGTAAAATTGAGTGTTTGGGAAATTGGAAATTATTATTTCAAATCCTAAATTAAATTCTCATTAAGGGCTACGAATAAAATAATATGGAATCAGAGAAAAACCTATTAAACGTGTGAGATTGTACATACTCTTGTAACGAAATACGGTTTGTTGTACATTGACTTTTAAGGTTAAGTACTCAGTGTTCGGGTTTTAATGAAAATTTATTTATAATCCATGAGCTTGCGAATAAATATCGGATTTTGATTTTGTACAGAATTCGTTATTCGATGCGACTTGATATGTACATTGCTATTAGGATAGTGGTTTCGATTTGAGAACTGTGCAGCAGCTAAATCAGATTATAACCTGAACGGATTAATTATCATCACATAGACATACAAGTTCCAGAAATTATTTACGGAATAAACTGTAAAGTGTTTAATAAATATGATCGTTTATATATAATCAGTAAATGAAATCATATTAAGTGTAGATGACATACAAGTAATCAACGTCTCGCAATCAGATGACATTGAGTCAGAAAATTTGAACATGTAACATACGTATAAGTATGAAATTGAGGAGCCAAATTTTGTGAGCAGGCGAGAATTTTACGCGCGATACAGTGAAATATAACCCTGCCAAACACTAGTTTCACTTGGCGCAGAGACACTTTCACTTGTGTTAGTCTATTAATAACAAGAAAAATTGGAATCCGGAGGGACCTGAAGGAATAGATAGGAAAGGACGAAGGAAAGTACAGGAAAGGATGAGTGAGAATAAAGAGACAAGAGGAAGACCAACAAACGCAGAAAGATTGGGAAAATATAGATCTAATAGCGTAAGCACTCTAGACGAACTCCTGAAAAGAAAAAGAGAGCGAGAGGTACCTGGTGAAACAGGGGAAAAGGACAAGGAAGAAGAAATGGAAGCCATCAGAAAGAGCAGGATCATAGAGAGATCACCGAAGAAGGAGGAAAATATGATGGAGGAATTTATGAAAAGGATGGAAGAGCGGTTGGAGAAAATGATAGAAGAAAGTACGAAGCAAATAATAGAAAGGATGAGAGAAGAATACAAAGAAGAAATGATAAAGTGGGGGGAAGAAATGCGAAAGGAGAGAGAGGAATGGAGAGCCGAAAAGAAAGAACTGGAGGGTAAAATAAGAGAACAGGAAGAAAGAATCACAAAGCTGGAAAGGGTGGAAGAAAAGATGGAGAGAGAGAAGAGAAAACTCAACGTTATCATAAAAGGAACAGAATGGAAGGAAAGAGTAGGAGAAAAAGAAGTAGAAAACTTCTTAGCCAAAGAACTGAAGGTTGATGTGAAAGTCAATAAGGCTATCAGGATAGGTAGAGGGAAAGAAAAAGAAATGATACTGGCAGAACTGAGGAGCTGGGAAGAAAAAAGGGAGGTGATGCAAAGAAAGAAAACACTAAAAACAGGAATATATATAGATGACGACCTGACAAAAGAGGAGAGATTGGTACAAGAGAAGCTCAGAGAGAGGGCGAGAGATGAGAGAATAAAGGGAAGAACAGCGAAAGTAGGATACAGAAGAATGATAATAGGGGAAAAAAAGTTTGTGTGGGACGACAAAAGACAGGACATAATAGAGAAAAGAGGAGGGAGGTGNTATAAGATTAACAATGGTATGAGACATAAGAAAAATACATTTTCTCATGTCGTCTCGTGTGATCAGGAGATGATAAAACATGTTTTTCCGCAAGGAAAAATTTATATACAGGGTATTCCACCTAACTTGACCACCTCAAATATATCGCTTATCTTTTGTGATAAAAAAAATGTCAAGGGGAGAGAATATTCTGTTGGAAGGCGCCAATACGGTGATGGGCCGAATTTTTTTCTCGAGGTCATTTTTTTCGAGATATTAAGGTCATCGTATTTTTTTTAAATGGGACTGCATATTTTCGCTATAACAGTCTTATAGCTTATAAAAAAACGAATCCATCTAGGTGCAATATGTTGACCTTCACGTGACCTTTAACGAGAAAATTATGTTTATAAGGAGAAAAGATAAAGACGAGATTTGTATTATTCAGTGCACAATATTTATTTCAAGAGATTTTCAAAATGTGCACCATTAACTTCAATACACTTTTGGAGACGGCAAATGAATGATTTTTTTACATCATTAAGCACTTCTATGCTAATTGATCTACATTCGTGTAAAATTCTTTCTCGCATATTTTCTGGTGTTGTGGGAGGATCATTATAAACTTTATCTTTTAAGTGTCCCCAGAGGAAAAAATCAAGCGGCGTAAGATCCGGTGATCGAGCTGGCCAACAAATCCTTGCACCTCGTCCTATCCAACGATCGGGAAACATTCTGTTTAATGCATTGCGCGCGATAAGAGCATTGTGAGCTGGACAGCCGTCATGCTGGAACCACATCCTTGATCGATATTGTAATGGAACATCTTCTAACAATGCGGGTAATTCATTGGTTAAAAAATCTGAATATTTTTGTCCATTTAATGTTCCTTCGATAAAGAATGGGCCAATAATTTGATGGTTGAAGATACCGCACCACACATTCACACTCCATGGGCGTTGATTCGGAACTTGCCTCAACCAATTTGGATTTTCCACCGACCAATAATGCTTATTATGCTTATTTATTTGTCCGACATTTGTAAACGATGCCTCGTCAGTGAATAACATGTAATTAAAGAAACGTTGGTTATTCCGCAGTTGCTCGAATGCCCAATTACAAAACTTCCGTCGTCTTTCAAGATCATTATCATCTAGTGCCTGATGTAATGAAACATGGTACGGGTGGAATTTATGCCGCTTTAAAATTCGCCAAACGCCTGTGCGAGACAAGGCAGACTCGTGTGCAATTTGTGAGCAACTAATGTGTGGATTTTTGTGTACCGCAGCCAAAACTGAGATTTCAGCTTCTTCGTTCGTTTTGGTCTTGGACCGATTTCGTTTAGGTGGAACGACACTGCCTGATTCAGTAAATAGTTTCACTATACGGTCGAAATTTCGTCTGGAAGGAACATGACGATCAGGATGTCTTTCTGCATATAACCGTTGGGCATGCATGGAGTTTCTCCCTGCTTCTCCGTAGATTAAAATCATTTCAACTTTTTCTGCTGTAGTGTACATGATGGATAAGCTTATTGTACTGATACCGATGTCGTAGCTTGTTGTGCTGATACTGATTGTAAAGCGAGAATTTTCTGCGAAGATTATCGATTTGATAATAATGCTTGTAAACATACTTCAACCGATGAAAGGACAATAACGCGGTACACTGTTTCAATGAAATTGAAATTCCTTCATTTATTGTCCCCGAACGCGTACTGAAGTTACTGACAAACATTTCATAATTTCCTCGCTAAAGGTCACGTGAAGGTCAACATATTGCACCTAGATGGATTCGTTTTTTTATAAGCTATAAAACTGTTATAGCGAAAATATGCAGTCCAATTTAAAAAAAATTCGATGACCTTGATATCTCGAAAAAAATGACCTCGAGAAAAAAATTCGGCCCATCACCGTATTGGCGCCTTCCAACAGAATATTCTCTCTCCTTGACATTTTTTCTATCACAAAAAATAAGCGATATATTTAAGGTGGTCAAGTTAGGTGGAATACCCGTATAATAATAGTAATATAGCAGGTATATATAGCAGGAGTGGCAAGCAAATGTGATGAGACATGGAAATACCTACTATCGCACGATGTGATAGGAATGGTGGAAATATGGATAGAAGAAAACACCTGGGAAAATATGAGGAAATACCTTCAAAAAGGATACGATTGGTTCTGTATTCCAGCGAAGAAAGAACATAAGAAGGGAAGAGCAAAAGGAGGAATTATAATGGCAGTGAGAAAGGGAATGGGAGAAGTAGAGATGATAAAGGTGGATGATGGAATTTTGAAGCTAAATTGGAAGAGGGACGAAAGGAGATGAAAGATGTACATTGTATATTGTCAAGGAGTTAAGGAAAGGATGGAGAAGATAGAAGACGACATTGAGGAAGAGAGGGAGGACTGTATAGTATTGGTAAGGTACTTCAACGCTCGAACGGGAGAGGAGGGAGGCCCGGTAGAGGAAACTGGGGAAAATGGAGGAAACAGCAGAAGATCGAACGATAAAGAGATAAACGAAGAAGGAAAAATCTTATTGGATAAAATAGCAGAGTTAGGGATGATGATAGAAAATGGATCCAGAGAAGAAAAAGGAGGGTGGACGTATGTCGGAGAAAGAGGATCATCAGGATCATCATCACTATAGAGGAGTAATTGATTATGTGATAACAAATGATAAGGCACATGAAGAGATAGGTAACTTGAAAGAAGGAGACAGAACGGAATCTGATCATTTACCCATAGAATTTACGATAAGAGGGATGAAGGGGAGGAAGGAGACAACCAACGAAGAAAAAGAAAACGAGAGAGAAGTAACAAAGTGCATATGGTCACTGGAGGGGATTGAACACTGTCATGGTAACTACAGAGGATGGAAGAGGACTATGGAAGGGACAGAGGAGGGTTGGAAAGAGATAAAGGAGAAAGTGCATGGAGCAATCTTGAAAGAGAAGAAAAAGATCAGAAGATGAAGTATAGGGGAGAGGAAATGGCATAGCGAAGCATGGAGGGAAAAGAAACGAGAACTCAGGAGAACATTGAGAGAAATGAAGAAAGGCAAAGTGGAGAGAGAGGTGTTTATAAAAGAAAGAAAAGAATACAGAGGATGGTGTAAGGAAGAAAAGGAAAAAAGGGAAGAGGAAGAAGAACTGAAGATAAGAAATATAAAGACCGAGGCGGAGGTGTGGACATATATCAACAAATACAGAAAGGGAAGAACAGGAATAGATGAGAACATAGACTTAAGGGAATGGAAAGATCATTTTATAAACTTACTAGGAGGAAAAGAAGGGAAAACAACGGTGAGACTAAGGGAAGAAGAGGATAGAGAGAGGGAGAACCCAATAACAAAGGATGAAGTCGTAGAACAACTAAAGAAGCTGAAAAAGAATAAAGCACCCGAAAAAGACGGAATAAGGAATGAAGCGTGGAGATTGATGCTGAATGAAATAGGGGAGGAATATATGAGACTGGTGAATGAAGTATGGAGGGGACAAGGAATGCCGGTAGAGTGGAGAAAAGGAGTGATCTGCCCGATATATAAGAAAGGAAAAAGGGAAGAGGTAAAGAACTATAGAGGAGTAACCCTGCTAAATACGGCATATAAAATATATGCTGGAGTGTTAAACGAAAGGTTGATCAAAGAAGTAGACGAGAACTTAGGAGAAAGCCAGATGGGATTTAGGAAAGGAAGAGGCACAACAGATGCAATTTATCTGCTGAATTCAATAATAAATAAAGAATTAGGAAGGAGAGGAGGAAGAGTGTATGCTTTCTTTGCAGACTTAAAGGCAGCGTTCGATAAAATAGACAGAAAGGAACTGGGCCGCATGCTGAAGAAACTGAAGACCAACAGTAAATTAAGAGATAGGATTTTAGAAATCTATGAAGAAACATCCAACAGAGTGAGAAGTAAAGACAAATTAACGGAAGAATTCTGGACAACCGAGGGAGTAAGGCAGGGATGCCCGCTGAGCCCAACATTGTTTAATGTGATGATGGCGGATCTAGAGGAAGAAATGAGAAAGGAAAACGAAGGAGGAGTGGTTATAGGGAAAGAAAAAATTTGGACAATATCATACGCAGATGATATAGTGCTACTAGCAACCGGAGAAGAGGAATTAAGATGTATGCTGAGGAGATTTGGAAAATATATAAAGAAAAAAGGATTAAACTTAAGTGCGGAGAAGTCGAAGGTAGTTGTCTTTGAGAATGGTAGAGGAGCGAGAAGAGAGAGGGAGTGGAGATGGGGACAAGAAAAATTAGAAGAAGTCAAGGAGATATGCTATCTGGGGTATATTTTACAGAAAAGCGGAAGAGCAGACAAACATATAAATGAGAGATTCAGGAGGGCGATGTTGGTAATGAAAAAGACGTGGAGTATAGGAGAAAGAATCTTCAAAGAAAACTTTGAAAGGAGGATTAGAATGTTCGAGGCGCTAGTAGAGAGTGTAGCACTGTACGGGTCGGAAATTTGGGGATGGAAGAAAGAGGAAAAGCTGGAAAGAATAAAGAGAAAATATATTAAATGGATACTCGGGCTGGAGAGGCAAACGGCGAACTATGTAGTAACAGAAGAAACGAAGCAGGGAGAAATAAAAGAAAAAGCACTAATAAGGGCAATGAAATTCGAGGAGAAAAATAGGAGAAATGGAATAAATCTGATAAAAGAATGTATTAGAACAGTGAATAGAGGGAACAGAGTAGGGGAAGATAACAAATGGCTAAAGGATAGAGAACAAACGATAGAGGAATATGACCTAAAGGAAGAAAGACGTTTTAATTCAGAAAACGAAGAGGAAGACTGGAGGAAGGTTTTAGAGAGACAGAAAGAAAAAGTTAAACTGGCAATGAGAAGAGAGAGAGAAGAAAAATTCGCGGCGTCAATATATAATAATGACTACCTAACCTGGAGGACAAATGAAATTCCAATGTATTTGAAGGGGTGGAAGAAAGCGAAAGAGAGAATGATGATTGCAAGGTTCAGGTGCGGAAACGAAATGAAAGGAGGGAAGTACTGGAATAAGGAAGAGGAAAGACTTTGCAGATGCTGTGGAAAGGAGATAGAATTGTTACAACATGTAAT